CTCACTTCTGGTGACGCCCGTTAGTCGGTTTGGGCGTTTGGATACGTTTTTTCGTCAAGCAGAACCTGCCATTCAGAGCGCCAGCCGCCCAAGCTGACAATGGCGCGTCAGCAGAACTATCGCTTGGAGAGGCAAGGACACAGAGAAAGGCAGGGAGAGATTCTCTCCCTGCTTCTTTTGCGTGTGTACTGTATCTTCCGTTTGCGACGCAGCTTTTTGAACAATTCGCTGTTGAAACATTGAATCATGTTACTCGGATTTTTTTCCTAATCACTGACTCACGCTGACTCACGCACTCATTCACTCACTCATCGACACTCTCCTTCGCATCTACGCTTCTCATCCATACATTCCTGCTTTCTCATGTCTTTTCTGTTCACTCCATCCTTCCACTGATGGAACAACTTCACGTGCGGGGTTATCCAGTCCTCTATTTTGGCAATTCGCAACAAACACGTTTAATGGAGTTGGCATAAACATACATTTTTATAGACCTGCATGCCTGGCCTGGCTGTATCAGGGCGATGCCCGTTGCAAGTGGCTCACGGGAGCAGGCTTGCTTGATCCAGCGGTGACAAAGGTTGCCGAGTTTCCGTGGCAAGTTGTGTTTCGTGAGGCATTGCAGCAGCGAGTAGCGGAGTTAGAGGATATTCTGAAGGGCAAGGATCAAGAGATCAAGGAGCGCAAGCTTGAAATCGTGACATTGTATCGAAATAAACCAAAAACATTAGCTTTGGAAGAACAGCAAAGCACATTTTTTCTTTCACATGTTCTCGACAAGAACATTTTCTTGTTTCTGACAGCAGTTTCAGGAACTTCAGAGTGCGCTTTCAAAGGCAGCAACGCATCAAACAAGAAAACAATCCTGATACGGAGCAGGGAACTGTGCTTAGGTCCGTCCTTTTGTTTTGAGTTCCATTGGCATTGCCCGGCTCTCACTTTCTTTGGCATGTGGCTTCGTTTTACCATGTTTGGAGGCTGGAATAAAGCTTCCATCCACTGTCAAAAAGGCGACACTTGTGAGCGGCATGATGAAGAGATTGCAAACCATAAGCTGCAAAATGGCATGGTGGACTGCAAGCACTTTGGCGGGGTTTGTTTTCACGCCGATTGAACCCTTCACCTTCAGAACGGCAGTGAACAGGCAAAAGCAATTGTTGGCTGCCTAACTTGCCATAGCCTACTTGCGTCGTGTTGCTCCTCGCCGCTCTGTGACCCCAAAGGGCGCTAAGCAGCCTGTTTGTTTTTGGTATTTGGCGATAAAGGCTGCTGCTCCACAGGAACCAACACATCGTTGAAACGAAACTGCTCCAAATCCTAGGGTCCTAGAGGCACTTGCCGCAGTCTTGTTTTACTTTGCCAAACTTGTTTTGGGGTTTCAAACTTGTTTTGGGGTTTCTGCTGGAAGGGCACATTTGTTTTGAGTAATTAGCAATTACTTGTTTGTTCCTTTGGAAGCCGTGGATTAAGCACTGAGTGAGTTGCATTTTTTGCGAAGCACTTGTGGAGGTCAAAGCAAGAGAAAAGGCAGGTGTAGTTTGGACAGTGGCCATCCTTGCCAGACAGCTTTGACAAAAAACATCATATTTTTAGAAGTATTTTCATTTGCATCGCTGAACTTTCATTCATACAGCAGCACGTCCCCGGTCTGGCAGATTGGGAGTGGCGGATTTCGTAAAGTCTCTCAATCGCAGCCCTCTGTGCCATACGAAGCCTTGGACCAGGAGCCTCGCGTCTTCCTTTCTCTTTTTTAGAGCATATAAACATATGTAATGAATATATACTGTATACCGTAGTACATGTAATATAAAAGAGCTTTCGGTTATTTACACCTCTCTAAAACCACCCTCCAGTCATTTGTCTCTATGCACGCAGATGTGCTTTGAATTGCTTGTTCAACTTGCGTTGTTGTGAAGGTGCTGGTAGGAACAGTAGTAGTTGAGGGGGCTCTAGTTACAATGTACCCACCATTGACTCCAGGACCAAGCAAGGCTGCAACTGTCGACAAACGTGCAATGAACACTCCAATGCACTGTTCAACTGCAAGTGGTTTGCCAACTGCCTTCCACTCTCAACTTACTGCAAAACAGCGACCACTCTTTCGAAAATGTTTCTTGGGACCCCAGGAACATGTGCACCAACCTCCGCCCAGCCCAGCGCCCTTACACTGGAGTTGACTGATGTCAGTGCTTTGCAAATATGGATCGGTAGCAACTTTTATTTCTATGGTGTGCTCAAGGCCAGAGGGAAAAACAGCCAGAGCTGGTGATGCAACGCCTTCACTTTTTGTGACTAGATGATACTAGATGAGGGAATTGCGTCACCCAAAGATAGAACATGTATTGGCACCTTTGAGCAACCGCCAAAGTTAGCGGAACGATGACCAATTTGAAGAGCGGTCGTAGGACATAAGACTGAAGCCGAAACCTGGAAAGAGCATGGGCGTCCAAGGGATAACCTTGTTGATTCGTTTGGGGCAGACAATCATAGTGGTTGTGCACTAGCGAGGAGGTCTGTGGCACCAAACTAGGACAATAGATCCTGGTATGTGAGGGCAGCACTCAGCACTTTGAAAGCCGGTGTTTGTAATTATGTTTTTTGGCCCGTGGCCCTGCCTCCTCACTTAATTCAGTTGGTTTGTCAGACTACTTGTATGTCACCATCGTAGCACTTCCAGTGAATAACAGACCTTTATCAATTCTGAGACCAACAGCCCCTCCCCACCATTGTCATCAACTTGGGAGTATGGCTGCGAGAGACAATTTGAGGTAGTCTGAGTGCATACGTATTGTGTTCGTATCCCTTTTTGGGCACTACTCTCGGGCGTATGATATGTGACATATGTCATAACCCAATTATGGCGCATATTTCACGTGCTAGAAACATAACAGTTCGTTTTGCACAGAGGCTTATGTGTGAATCAAGAAGTGACAGTGTTGCATATTCTGCATGCTTGGACTGCGGAAGGACGACCTGATTGATCTTCGATTGGAAGAGTTCTACAACGGAACAGGCTCAGCCATTCCCTTTCAGAGGAGCTGCCTGTGGATGTTGCTGGCTCTTTTGAAAAAAACAACGGAATCTGCAAAGGTTCTATGCATTTCAATGGGCAGGATCAATCGGGGTTTTTACCGGTTTGGGGAGACAATTGTCGAGCTCAACATCATCAACCACAAGCTGATGGCTCGAACAGAGGCATTTTGGACGAATGTATGCTCACCACATTGTTTTTGGTTTGACTGCTAAGCTACGTGCAACCAGAAGATGTGTCAGTATTTGGCCATCAAACTAGTGTTTGTGATCGTATTGCGTTGGTGCTTCATTTTCTGCAGCAACTAAGGATGGTTGGAACAGAAGCAAGTTTGGCCCCATTGAAAAATTTCTGATGTATTACGAGAACATTGAGAGGGAAAAGGCAAGAGCACGATTTAATCGTTCTGTACTACTACTCATTGCTACTCCTCATCTACCTATTAGTAAGCAAAGAATCCAGAATCCACACTCCTAAGTAAATACTTACGGATACAAACCGTGTTGCAGCTTCTTTGTCAAGACTCTGTTCATACAAGTGCAGGCTGGAATCCCGCTAGAGTCGTGAGACGGCCTTTGGAATCCGAATCACTTGCGCAGTCTTTTTTGTGACCAAGTGAGTTGAATCGGATGGAAGTCTGAACAAAGTGCAACTTCACTCAATGGCAAACCATAGATTGGGGCGCTTACATGCCACCTTGTCATTCAATACTTGTTCTTTTTTTCATTTTTTTGTGGCCTTCTGAATCCTTTACTTTGTGCTTGCATCAGCTTATTCATGTCCTTTGCTTCACCAGTAGTTGCAATAAAGATACATTCATCTAGATACCCCTGAGAGCAAGAATGGTGCTCAATCTCGGGCTCTTGTGGTCTGGAGATTGTCTCTTGACCTACAAAGGTTTCAGTGTCCGAATAGTTAACGCAGGTGAAATGAGCTGTAGGCCAAGTCGGCAACAACAGCTAAGTCGACTTTTCTTTTTTCATTCAAGGTGTAGATGATGCATTTCTGGTGCATTTTATGTGTAATTTCCCTGTGAAACTATTCGGTGCGCGCTATGTGTTTTATAGAAAATTGCTTGTGGCTATGATGGCATCGCCACCTGAGTTGCCAGAAAAGGGAGTCACTTTCATCATGTTTTGTATAGTTTGAAGCTCAAGTGTGGCATGAGTTGATGTTATATCAGTGTATATCAGGCATATGCAACAGGTTTCCAGCCTGGCTATGCAGATGGCTGGGCAGGGATGGCTGTCTTCTGGTACGCATTGTTGTTCAGCAGCACTATACTCTAGTGCGCAACCAATGAAGGTTCACAGGACCGCCATAGTGCTTCAGTTGTGGTGTATGCATCCATGCGACTCGCAAAGAGTGCCGACTCGCGTAGGACATTTTTCCTGTGAAGGGAAGAGCCTTAGTTCCATTGGAACAGCTCCAAGCTTGCCTACGGGCAGGCTCCACGCTAGCAAGATCTACCAACTTGCTTCATGCTTTGTTCTTGTCCTTTTTGGGTGTCTCTTAGTTTTGTGCTTTTTGTGGCACGAACACAGCATGACACAACCCTGGACTCGTGCAGGTAATGCCCCTCAATGCAGTGCTTTGTCTCCAAAATATGTACTTTTGTGTACATTGTAAGGCTTTTGTGTGCTTTTTCAAATTTCAAGTAACTTCCAACAATTGCAAGATTTGCTGCTCAGCACACTGTCTTCATTCCGAGGCTCTACTGGTATGGACTGTGGCCATTCAAGCTCACTTGGTTTGCATCCTATTGCAAGCTACAAACTGTTAATTTGTCATGCAATACAATCGATTGCTACAACCAATGCGCACATGTCCCAATTTTTGTAGGGGATCAAGCCTTTGTTGCCCGTCCAATTGATACACTTAGCTTGATTGCATTTGCGCTGATCATTGAAGGATGCAAACTTGGTTGCAGTGACTCTGCTCTCTCCATTCTTAGGTGTTATGCGGAAAGATGGTGAATTCTCGACTATCAGCCTTGACACCTTCGACACATACCAGAGTACTCGTCCTGAAATTCAAAGCTGACTCTTGCTCTGCATTGCTTAGTGCTGCGACCAAAAGCGTCTACCGGCCTCAGGAACGTCTAGGCCGCGTTTACCCGGGCTTTTTGGCCTCAGTGTAGGGCCTAAATGCCGAGGACTCGTTTGTGAACTCCAGCACCTCTATTGCGGAAGTGGGTGGCATCAAAGTGGTGGATGCCAATGGGACGTGCTTGAGTTGTGATTCTTACACAGTTTCTCGCCCCAGATGCGGATGTTTTTTACTTTACTGTATTATCGTTTCATGCAGTTTCCTGCTTCAATCTTATATATAATATGTACATCCGGGAATTTGTCTCAATTGAGGTTTGCTCTTCCCCTAATCCGCCGGACGAGAAGGCAAGCCAACTTGATTCTCGGATAGCTCTCAATATTCGACTTGGAGATAAAGTGTTTGTCCATCCAAACGCAAAGCAGAAGTGGTCAGTATACTTGCTGATTTCTGTCTCTTCAGGGGGCATCGGGGAATGTCACGGGCAGAGAATGGGCGAGTGGCAAGAGTTGGAGCTAGAAGCTCAGTTACTGCCGTTGGAAGCGTTGCTCCGTTTCCAACGTAGAGGAGCAACGGAGCACAGCTTGACGCACACACACACACAACCTCCAATCAAATAATAAATGAATGGGACCAACACATCTGGGTAGGATACGTGGTGCGAAAAAGGTATTTGACACCTTTACAAAGACACAAGTAGAGCACTTGAGGACGACAACACAGAAAAAACATCGTGCACTGTCAAAGACCATACAAGAGGATGAAGCAGGGACGCCGTTGGTCCTACCTGTTTCGAATTTTGGACTGTGCATTGACCAACAAAGGAAGTTTAACTTCAAAATTTCGCCCAGGGTGGAAGGTATTGTCTTCTTCCGTTTTCGACTTCATGCTCCAGACTCCGTGGCTGGGTCGAAGTGCTGGTTTTGTGCGCTCTTGTGCCACAAGTTTTGTGATCAGGATCTCCAAGCTCAAAGGTGATGCGAGCTTTGGAGTTGTCATCAACAGCGCTGTTGACTCTTCAGGCGGTGAAAGCTTCGATTGACAGCCTGCATGAAAGACAGAACTTGTAAGAACTCTCAGCTTTGATTCCGTTTCCATTGAAGCAGTGAGGCGAAAACTCAGAAGAACAACAAGGGCGACAAGTTACCAATTGGGTGGTAACAAGTGTTTTGGGCACTCAAGATACCTCGACTGGAAAATGGCTTCGGTCAGCTTGGTCCAAGGTTGTGGGGGCCTTGGACAGCAAACAGTCTGAGACAGCGTAGGAAGCAATGAGAACCACACAAGCTTTATCATAAATGTATAATGCAAAGAAAAGACATGTTGAGTTTCCAAAGAACTCTAGGAACCAAATCAATCATCCTTGAAGAAGCCTAAGCTCTTCTGCATCCAAGCCTAGTAGCTTCCTAGCTACTAGCAACTTAGCTACCTCCTCTTGGACGTACCCCTTCTGCTGATTCTTCCTTGTCTTCCCAGGCTGTGAACCTCAATGGAGATTTTCGCTACGGGGTCAGTGGCTCGCAGGGTGCCATTTTGACAAAGGATCCTGAAGCTGGAAAGGACTGAAGACATCGTCCACCGATTCAGCTGTTTCCGCCGTTCCTGGGTGTACTTTTGCCAGTTCAGCCATTTCCATGGGCAAACTTTGCTGAAACGGCTGAACTTAACGGTCGCAATGATGACAATTTTGTCCCATGCCAGAAAGTTCTCGCTCACTGTTGCTCCAATCGAACAATGCAACAGCTCCTGTCCTTTTTTGGTGACCATGAACTGAACTTTTCCAGTTTGAAGATACAGCAGGAGCTTCTTGCCGAGGTCGCTCAGATAAACTATTAGTTGCTCATGTTGTCTTGGATAGTTTGCTTGGTTGTTTTGCACATAGAACTTAGAACCTATATGAACCTAGATGTCCCTGGATTGCTTCACCAGAGCATGTGAAACTTAGCATTGTCTTCGTCCTGAAAACATCACCAACTACCTGGTGACGGAGCACTCTTTGACAAAGGGCCGAATGGAGGTGACTGCGAAGTGCAAAGCGGAGCCTCGGCAAACGGCTTTTGAATGGTACTAGTAACAAGGGCATCGCTACTAGTAACAAGGGCCGACGGCAATACTACTAGGAGCACGAAGCTATTAGTAGCTCCTGGCATCGCTACTAGTAGCAAGGGCATTACTACTAGGAGCAAGAAGCTACTACATTACTACAACTTGTAGGAGCAAAAAACTATTTGTAGCTCCTGGACTCGGTATGCACCTGACCTACCGGTGTCTGGCTCAAGTCGGGTTGACCCAGGTACTTGTCATGACACAACACCGCAGCCCAAAAAGGTGCGCATAGAGCCTGGTATCACACTAGACCATGTTCACACACATGTGACCTTTACATGCACTCTAGGATCCTACCTTTGTTTCGAGTTGGTAGCGGAGCCCCTGTGTTGGTTCGGGGCGATGAAGCTACTACTGCCTTTCGCCGCCATGGTCTTGTGCACCATGCTTCGCGCTGGTGATGGCCCACTTGGCCATGCTTTCGTTGCCGGCGATTTCCAACATCGCCTTTCGCGTGCCGGTGGTTCCCTACACCACCCTTCGGTAGGCCATGCCGATCGCTTAGGTTCGTGTCCTTGTCTTTCTGTCCCGTTTTCGCCACCACGCGTCCCGGCTCATGCATCGTGTCCAGGCGATGCCCCCGGAGACGGTTCGGTCTGTCCTTGTCTTGTGTTCTTTCCGCACTCGGTCAGTCTTTGTCTTCCGTGCACCGCCACGACAACCATCCTGACGCCAGTCAGTGATGACGGGAATTGTCCTTGTCTTTTCGTGCCGATTGCCAATACCTCCAACACCACATCCATCGATGCCACAAGAACTACCAACGCCACATCCATCACAACAACCATTTGCAATGCCTTTCGCCATGTCCACATGATTGCCGCTCAGGCCAAGAGTGCAAGCAGTTCGACAGCTTTCATGACGGCCGCCGCCGTGACTCACTCGCTTCAGCTGCACAAGGAATGCATCATGTGCCCAGAACTTCAATGGCTGTTCGCTGTTGCCGCCATGATCACTGCCATCCATGCCTTCTCCAGCAAGGCCACACCAAGGATGCAAGTGATAGTTGGCTGCGTCCGCCACAGCCGCCGAGTTCGTGCAGACTTCAAGAGTGCAAGCGTTAGCCATAGCCGTGTTGTGTTTGCAATGCTGTTGTTCGCGCAAGAGGCACAAGCGTTCGCAGGTCCTGAGGTTGGCAAAGCCGTTGCAACAGTGTCGGAACCGCCGACCATGTCCGGCACTGAGGTGACACAGGCCATGGCAAGGTCCGCGCAAGAGCCCGCAGTGGCATCCAAAGGGACCAGTGGTTCACCGACCCATGCAGTGCACACCAACACTCGGCTCGTCCATGTCGCAGTGATGGCCATCCCATTGACCATTGTGTGCATAGTCCTGCTCATGTATCCCGGGAATGTAGCGCAGTCCATGCGCATGCCACCGATCTATGACCCAAATGATCATACCCAGTCCTTCAGAGCCTGGAGTCAAGATCTGATACTTTGGACCATCTCCAATGAGCTTCAGCCGCACCAGCAGGCCGCCATGGTGGTGGCTTGATGATGAGACTCGCCTCCGAGCTGCGCAAGAGCTCCTTTCGTTCCACCGTAGGCCGCGTGAGTCGATTGATGGACTCATCACCAGGTTCGAGATCGTTCGCAGTCGAGCAAGGCAGGAAGGAGGTGGAGCAACAGTGTCCACTGAGACTGCAGCTCTCCTCCTGCTTCGAGCATGCAACTGCAATCATTCCAAGCCTTGACACAACCCTTCGGCTACCGACTTCCGAACACAGACGACAAGTTCACCAGACTATGTGCCCACATCCGTCGCTTAGGCCACATCGTGGAACGTGCCAGCGCTCTCCGACAAGGCCAAGGCCAGACTCAGCATTTCCATGTCAACGATGCTGAGCAGTTCGGAGCATCAAGCCAAGATGCATGGCAATCAGGTAGTTGGAACCATGCACCAGGTTCATGGAACACACAAGATTCCACCAATGCGTGGGCATACCCTGTCACTGAAGGTTGACACCGATTCGGCCACGTCGTCCGACTCAGGTGGTCAGCCGGACACCTCTGACTTTGCCCACTTGCCAGAGCAAGAAGCCGATCAATACCTCTTTGGCGAGTACCAGCGCGCCAAGAAGAGATGGAGACGCTTCTCAGGCAAGCCTGTTCGCGCCCTTCGCAGGGTGCTCAGAAGGAAAGGGAAAGGTAAAGGTAAGAGCAAGTCAAAGCAGCGTAACTCGTACCCTGAAATCCTAGAGCACTACTACAAGGGAAAAGGCAAAGGCAAACCCACTTCAGGTAGGGGTTTTGGTCGGAGGATAAACCCCAAAGGTCGGCAGGGCCAGATCATGCGTTACTCAATCTGCGGTTCTATGTACCACCTTCGTGCCCGATGCAATCAAGGCTCACCTGAAGGTCAAGGTCAGTCCAGTTCAGGTCAGATCCAGCAAGCCGGTGATAGACACCTGTTCGCGCAAGAGAGTTCAGTGCACTTCGCAACCTTCGAGCAGGCTTCCGCCGCCAGTGGCCTACCAAGTGAAGCCGACAACGCAAGGTGGTCTAATACTGAGCCAAGCGCACCTCCACAGCAATCAGGTGATGCAACCAGCACAAGCTGGACCAATGTCACTGGCCCTGGAACTGAGACACCAAGGCCCACAATTCCCTCAGAACTATCAGCTGACACCGGACCAGCAGAACGATCCGTGGGTCAATGGGCAGGATCCATGGACGCAGGGATATCAAGAATGCTCGCAAGATGCAGCATGGCAACCACAGCCAATGCAAGTCGGTGATCCATGGATGCAGTGGCACGTAGGAGGCCAGCAAGTGCAATACAACCAGCAGTTCAACATGGTCAATGCAGCACTCAGCGCCAATTCGTGGTTCATGCCATATGACCAGAAAAGGCCAGTTGTCCAACATGAGCAAGTTCAACTGCCTGTGATTCCACAAGTGAGTGCTATCCAAGAAGCCGTTCGTGCCGCAGCAACGCAACAGAGTGTATCGAGCAACACGAATGAACCATCGAGCAGTTCGACGCAGCCGCCAGTGTGGTTCCAACAGCCTGTTAGAACTTCAATACCTCAAGCGCCGCAAACACCTGAGCAAGTTGCAGTAGCTACAGCCTCAGAAGTGGTGTCCATCTTCGCTGAAGTGCATGCAGCAAGGTCCGCGCAAGCTGAGAGGTCTCGACCGCAAACACAACCTCGAAATGAAGTTCGTCCTTTCAGCAACCAGTGCACCATATGCCAGCAGACCTTCAACCAAGGTGAAGAGATCTTGAGGATTGAATGTGGACATATGTTCCACAGCCTGTGCGTCAGTGAGATGATGCAGCATGCCGAGTCTGAAGGCAATGCAGTGCAGTGCCCAAATTGCAACGCATGGGTATATGCAATCCCAACCACAAGGTCCGAAGCGCAAACTGAACCTCCAGCAACACCATCACAGTCACGTGCGCCACTCGACCTCCCGACAGAGGAAGAAACTGCCGATAGACTAGCAGCCGCCGTGACCACGCCAGTGCCAAGTGAGCACGGTGATGAGCTGGAAACTCGGAGGGAGAGTTTCAAACTCCCGATCAGGGTGCAGCAGCACCGTCGTATGCTTGGTGGCCTGTGACGCAGCCAATGCGCAGAGAAGAGAGCTTTCATGCAGCAGCCTTGGCAGAAGGCTGCGGTCTCCTCGTTGATCCTGGCTCACACGGAAACCTTGTAGGTTCAGAATGGTTGAAGCAGGCTATCCCATTCCTCCATCGAGCTGGCAAGGAGATTCTTCGGTTCGCTCGTAACAGTCCACTACATGTTGGAGGGGTAGGAAAGGGCAGTCAAACCTGCATCAATGGCTGCGTATTCCCATTAGCCCTCGAGCGATCAGACGGAACCACGCATGAGGGAACCTTCGCGAGTCCATTTGTGGAGGAAAGCCATACGCCTGCTCTCCTAGGTCTGCGCAGCCTGATGAGGCACAACGCCATCCTCGATCTCAGCAAGAAGACGATGCCTTTGATACGAGATGATTGTGAGGCAGGATATAAGCTTCCTGAAGGCGCAGAGTCCTATCCGCTGAAGCAAGCGCCATCAGGTCATCTCCTTCTCCCATTCACAGACTTCAAGAAATGGGAACAGAGAAGGTTCGAGAAGATGAATATAAAGATGATCCATCTGTTCACTGATGACGAGCCAAGAACAGGCGACTCCACCGCCAGCAGATCAGGACTGCAGCGTGACACTGATGTTGACATGGAGGATGCAACTGCAAACGCATCAGCCACGCCAGCGCCGCCAGCTGGCCCAGCTGAGATGGAAGTCGATTCGACGCCTGCCACCGCAGCGCCAAAGCCTGCCACAGAGCCTTCAGTAGAGGCCACTCGCACAGCGACAGAGAGCATTCACCACGCTGCTGAGTCCGAACCATCGACTACACCATCTCGCAAACTCCACGCAGCGCCGCAAGCCGCAAGGGCCGCAGCTGGAGTTGAGTACGGCCCAGTGAGAAGGCGACAAGAACGCCCAGACGAGATGGAAGAGGTGGAGGTGGATGAAGAGTCCGGTGAATCAAGGAGGGTGAGGCAGTTCAGGCTGACAGAAGCAGGAGTTGCAGCTGCCGCCAAAGCAGTGCCAAGGTCACCTCCAGAATCTTCACCAGAGCCTGATGATGTGCCTCAGCCGAAGACACCACCTGGACCACCACCTCACTTGCAAGGATCTGCCGCATCGCGAGAAGCCGTACCAAAGGCCAAGAGAAGGCAAGTGCCAAATCCAAAAGGGCCTCCACCAAGGAGGCAGCCGCCTCAGCCACCGCAGTCTACACAAACTGTCATCTTGGGGTCTGACGAGGGCGTCAATGAGGCCAAGGCCAAAGGCGCCACAACTTCCAAGACATCACCAGAAAAGGCCAAAGCGCCTGTGCGACAACCGCCGCCGCCACCAGCGCCAAAGAGGCGATCGACAAGCGAGGCTGCCAAGGCCAGTGGATCGTCCGC